TTCATATGTTATACGACTAACTGATACCATCCAACCAGCTAACAAATCCACCAATTAACCATCTACTTACTTCAAACTGTGCGTGTGTGCGCGCAAGTTTACAGCCGTGCATGCTGCCGCATGCATGTACATCCATTTATATGTGTCAGTGCGGTCAAAGTTCCAGGAACTGCGCGCGGACTGCACTTCATTAAAGTGCAGCAACACTCTCAGACGCGTGCGCGCACACACACACACACACACACACACACACACACACACAGTGGGGGCACTTTATTTAGTGCGAAAGATAGGGAGGACAGACCTCAATGGATTCTGGAATTAATCTTTAATGAGTCTGGGCCACAGTGACACCCCCCTCCCTCCCCCACCTAGCCGCCTCTCCTTCCTCGCTCAGGAAACAAACAATGACTTAGGTGGGGGTGGGGGGGAAATAGGAAATACTCCTCATACCTGCCTGCCTCCCCCAAACACCATCATGAATTATTCACGCATCTGCTCGGTCAGAGCCCACCTCCCAGCGGCAGGAACCGGAGGAGGTTCTATGCTGCGGTCACTCAAATGCAGCCACCTCACGGCCATTCATCTGCAGGTCAGCTGTCAATCAAAGCAGCAGTAGATCCAGCGATTGCTAATGTCGATTTCGATTTTAAAGCCCAATTTTGTCACAAGAAATTATCTAAGAACAGAAATTGACATTAAATATCAGTTTTCAGTCTGCACATTTTCAAGAAGCCTTACCCCATCTTGGTGGGCTTAGGAACATTGCAGCCATGACTCAAAGAAAAAAAAAAAAATCCAAATGGGGCTGAAACCTTCCCAGCCAAACGTGTGGCACGGCAGAGCACCTGGAAAATGGCATGTAAGCCCAGTATTTTTTTGTTTAAAGGACAGTACCCCCCTTTTTATACCCAAAGCTGAGTACCTCAGGGTACCAGAAATTGGCATTGAAGCTAACTTTTGGGAATTCCTGCCTATCTTTGTAATTTTTCATGGCTGAACAAAATAAGATGGCTGGCTCTACCATGAACCCACATCATTTCCGATGGCCCAAAAACATTCCAAACCTAAGGCAAGAACAGACCCCGCCCCCCCAAAAAACAGACACATTTAAGTATGTTTTGTTAAAGATGGATCGGTTGCAACTACAAGTGTATCCGGCTGTTAGTGTCGAAGGCAGATTTATTTTCGCCGAATTCACACTGCCTTTGAAAAGTAGCCAGACGACTTTTAGCATTTTAGAGGACACCCGCGGCTCGCCGGTGCCGGCCGAGTGGTCACGCCCTCCTCCTAGTTGTTAGCCACGAGCCTGTTATAGAGGGCTCCGTCCTTTTAGCAATTACCCACAATGCACTACCGGCGGCCATATTGGAGGGCTGTTATAAACAAGCCATACACGAA